AGAGCTGGAATCGGACTCGTCCCCTGACGAGTCCGAAGAGGACGACTCCTCCCCTCTCCTAGAGGGGCCCGCCTCCTCTCCCTTAGAAGGAGCAGAAGGTAAATTAGACATGTCCACGGTTAGATGAGAAGGGAACACCTTGGTCCCTCTCTCAGAACTGTCAGCTTGACAGTCGCCTCGTTCCACATCTGGCGCCTGGTCAGATGTTTCGCTAAGGAGTACCCTTTGGGAGGAGCCGTCTGAGTTTGATATTCTAGCAGTCTTTTTTGTTCTGGCCATCACGTTCTGCATAGACACAGATTCAGTTGGACTTTGTATAAAGGGCAAAGAGGGGTCCAGAAAAGGGGAGGCGGCACTCCTAGTCCTAGATTCAGCCGTCCCCGGTGACCGGCTGATCACTAACTTAGGGCGTGTCGTGTGCTTCCATGGTGCCATTTCAAAAAATAAAAAGAAAATTAAGAGTAAGAGAACTGAGTTACCTGAACGGATGACAGTTGATGAAGTCCTGAAAGTTCGGGTCAGTCGGCTTGTCAGAACAGGCGGTAGGCAGAAAATGTCCGAAAATGTCAGAGCAAGTTCAGGGGTCCGAATGTTCTCGCAAAAATTCTCAAATGTGAAAATGACCGAAGTCAGCACTTCCTTTTATAGGCAAAATGAGAAGGCGAAGGGTCGCCTCCGAATTCAAATTTGGGCGGGAGAGTCTCCCGGCCGTCTGCAAGGTGACACCTGTAACGGGCCGTCGCCTGTCACCGTGCGACACCTGTCACAGGCGACACGTGACCAGTCGCGTGCCACCTGTGAGGGGCAAATGATTAGGGGATTTTTATCCACCAAGCGCCGTTTGACAAGTGGACCAACCAGGTTCCGCCACGCGTCCTCCACGGACCACTTAAGACACGCCACGTGTCCACCCATGCCAAATGGGACAACCGGCCATCAAGGCCCATTTCAGTCTAGAAGCCCGTTCGGCCCTAGGTTTACCTTAAACCTAGAGAGTTGCACGCTTCCCAAGGCTATAAATACTCGATTAATCCTCATTAATCAGGGGACCGAATAATTTACGGAACACACTAATAACCGGCTGATCTCGCTAGCAAAGCAGATTACCTACATTAAATACTCTCACCTAGAGAGACCTTATTACTTTAATTTCTGTATTAATTACTCCTTAATCAGGTACTAACTTGACCGTTGGAGGCGGAGCTCTCAGGAGTCTCCGTTATTTTGCAGGTACAGGCGTCCGGTTCCAGTCTCGGAATTGTAACTCTCCCGCAGGACATCAGAAAACCCCGAAACAAGGTGCATGCTCAAATTGACAAATCTCATATGATTGATTGTGCCCCCACTCCCCTATTTAATGAAAATTCTCATATTTGTAATTATGATGATCCTACCTTTGGTTGTGTCTCTTCTTCTACTCTTGATCCTCAAACCTCTTCACCTTATCATTCTCCAAACTCTTGTGATGAGTCTGTAGTCCCCTATAGCAAAATTGATGAATCTTTGAGGGAGTTAGAGATGAATACAAACCTAAGGCCCTTTGAGATACAAATGATGGAATTTATGGAGCCAAATGGAGATGATTAGAGAGTGTGAGGGTGTTTTGAATGAAGAACTGAAAAGAAGAGAAGAGTTGGAAAGTCAATTTTCATCTTTGATGCTTATGTGTGAAAATTTCAAATCCAATGTGTGTGTTGAGGATGATGATGATGATTTTGAGCAACCAAGAGAGTGTGATGATAACATTGATGAGCATTTGTGTGATGGTGAAGGAGTTAAGAATGAAGAGAGTGTTGAATTTGAAAACTCCAACCCTCCCACCCATCTTGATGAGTCTCAAGTGTATGTATGTGACTCTTCTATCCATGAATATTTGGACTTTTTTGAGGTTATGTCCAATGTGTTTATTGAGTGTCAAAGGAATATCCATAACCTTTTAAGTAAGTTCATTGAGAATGCTTCATGGGAGAGAGATGATTTTGAAATGAATTTGCATCCATTCATGCATGGTTATGAGACTTTGGCCTTTAAGGAAGTTGAGGGAGTTGTTGTTCATGAATGTAGTGGAGAAGATTATGTTGTTCCTCTAGAAGTTGGATGTTTGAGGGGGATGGAGATCATGAGTTTTCTTCTTTTGAAGATTCTATGATTGATTTTTATGCCCTTATTGGCAATGTGAGACCTTGTGGTGAGGGATTTATCTTTTCTCATACCCCTTTTTCAAGAAGATTCAACCATATCCCTTACACTCCTATCTCCCTCCCTTTTTTTTCAATGAGCCTATTGGGGACCCCCTTGTCTATGATGATTTTAATGTTCCTTATTCGTCTATTGTTGAGGAAAAGGGTGATTTTGCCACCCAAAAATATCATGAGGAGAGTTTGCCTTAATTTTCTTCTTCTTCTTCTTCTTCTTCTTCTTCTTCTTCTTCTTCTTCTTCTTCTTCTTCTTCTTCTTCTTCTTCTTCTTCTTCTTCTTCTTCTTCTTCTTCTTCTTCTTCTTCTTCTTATTTTGTTGAATTTGCTTTTGCTTTTTCTTCCTTTTCTTGGAATTTCTCTCCTCATGGGTGTGCACTAAGCTTGTTGCACATCCTTTTTCCGTCATTTGCCTACTTGTTATCTTATGAAATGTGTAGTAGTGCATTTGACAAGCTCTTGAGTGCGTTGAATTAATATTTTCTAGAGAGGTCAAGCTTGGACCTTAAGCAAGCCTTTCTCGGGAAGTAACCCATGTTTTATTGCTTTTATTTTCTTTTCTTTTTAGAATATATTTTCTCACAAGGAAATGATTGTGTGCCTTTTTCTAGGTACATGACTTGATATACTTTGGTGCTTCGATTTGGATCAAGAGTCAAGGAAGTTTGACTCCTATTTTTGCTAGCATATGAAAGAAAAGGTCAATTATTGAGGAAATTAGCTTTGAAAGGTTTAATTGGGTCAATTGCGGGTATTTAAACCCACCTAAATTCGATAATATCCTTCCTTGCTCTTTCTCAAGTGGATGATGACTTGTTGGACATATGTTGGTTTGTTGGTTTGATCTCCTTGTTTTCCCCTCCCATGGTTTCTATGATTTATGTTTGAGTGTATTGTCTTATTTAAGTTGGGGGAGGGTATTCTATCATGTTTAATTGGATGTTGATTCATATATGCTATGCACCTTTGTATATGCTTTTCCATGTTCTTTTATTTTGATAAACTCCAAAAAGATTTTTGTTTCTATCAAGGCAAATTTGCACTGTGTTTTTTTTTGTTCTTGCTTTGGACATAGTACTTTTGGACTTGTATAGTTGAATGCTTTTATTCTTAAATGGTAATGGTGTGCACGGTTTGAGAGTATGTTTGGTTGATTCTAGTATAGAGTATGCTAAGGTAGTCCTTTAGAACTTTTGGGACCTTGAAGCCGGATTCTTTTGTTTTTAAAGCTTTTCAATTGTTCCCTTTTGGTGAATTTGAAGCTTTTAGCGAGTTTTTGCTACAACCTAGTGAGGTTTCATGATTTTTCAAGCCTTCTACATTTATTTGCATGAGCGGCATGGATCCTTGACTATTGTGGACCTATTCTTGAATCTTGACTCATAATTCTTAAACACGAGACCAAACCATCTAGAGAGGACAAAGGCATCTTTTCGGGGTGGTATTTTTCTTTTCTAGGATAATCTTCTTTATTTTTAGTTCATTGGGTTTACATTTGCCTTCTTGCTAACCATTTGAGTCTTTTCCCTTCTTTTTGAGCCACATCTTTAGAATTTTGAGCCTTTTGTTTCTTTAATTTTTGTTCCATTTTTTGTTTTTATGAAGCAAATGATCACCTTCATTGGAGATTGTGGTATATAAGTATGGATATTGGTTCCTTTTGTAAGAAAGCTTGTTTTGTGTGTATATTGGGAATAATGGAAAATGAATGTTGGAAAAAGTCGTTCGAAGTTTAAAAAAAGGCAAGGACATAATAAATGCAAAGTTGTAAGAGTCGTCCATAGTTAAAAGAGGCGAGGACTATCATCATGTGATAATCTCATCGTCATATTTCCTAAATTCATTTAGCTTTCAATTAAATGTTATCTGCTGAGTTTAAATTACATTCATTTTTATTCGTCCTTTATCATTTATGTAATTACAATTGTTTCTAATATTGGTATTCGATATGTAGGCAAGAGTATGAATTAAATTATAAAAAGAGAATATTTAATATGATTTCTAGTATTATTCACAAGCTTTTGAAAATGTTATTAAATTTATAAGCTAAATATAATAATATTTTATAAATATTTAATTTCATGATTATAAAAATATTATATAAATATAATTTTAAGACGTTCCTTTATGTAAAGTATTTACTATTATTATGGAACACTAAAATTTGATAAAAAGTCTATTTAGTTTCTATTTAAACTCAAATATCCAAGCATAATTTACGAAACATCAACTAAATAATCATATTATTCATGAAAAAAATAAAGTTTTGTAAAATTTGATTCATATGATGAACTGCAAACCGTTCTTACAAGATCATATGAATTTTAGAGATTTGTCAATTTACTTTTTGAGTTAAAAGATAAAGTATTAATTGAATTTGAGACAATGATTTATTAAATTAACATTTACTAATCAAAATGTAATTTTCTAATTATAATATTAAAAATATTTTTGTTAATTAGAAGAGATTTTTCAGTAAAAATTGATTTGGGTTGCTATTCACATTTAAATGTGCAGAGTACATGGCTTTAAGTTTAAATAATATTCTTAGTTGAATGTTTGCATTTATCTAGCCTTTAGCGTTATTATGTTTTATGTTATCTCTTACAATTTATAAAAAATATCTTATACAATTAAAGTGCTTTTAGTAAGAAGTTAATGATGAATTCCTAGAATGAAATATTGATCATATGAATGTACGATGGGAACTTAAAGTTTGAGAATTTGAAAAACTAACAAATGTGTGAAGAGTTAGAATTTTTTTTTTTTTAAAAAAAAAAAACATAAAATATGTTGAATTCTTACCTTTCCTTGCTAAAAATTTGTGTACCTTCACGAAACTTAAGCCACTTTTGCGCTAGAGCACAAATACCAACACTGTTTGAAACAAAAATAAATTTAAATAATAAGTAAAGTAGTTAAAAAAATTCAAGAAAGAGATTATTTGGACATGAATTTAAGAAAACTTTAATCTTATGAGCCTAAGACTTTGAATAATTCCACTTTGAATATTTAATCTTTTATAATTTCACTTTTTTTTTTTTTTTTTTTTTTTTTTTTTTTTGAGGAATATAATTTCACTTTTATTATCTAGAGTTTGACTTAATTTCTCTTTGTACCTAGTAATTTGAAAGTAAATTATAGAAGCCGAGATTTATAAGATTTTCATTTTGGAATGCTTCACCCTAACAACATAAATTTTTCACTACAATATAATGTTTTACATCAATATATCCTTTAATCAAAACTTAGTGATTTTTAAATAAAAATTTAGTGAAAAATTCTATATGTTTTTTATACTACATCTGTTTGATATTATTTGCAACGATTAGACATTTTTTCTCTCTACTTTATGTCAAATTGTTGCAAATAATATGAAATAGAGGTAGTAAGAAAAATTTATTAACAACTAGAAATATTTATATATATTCCCTTCTATATATCCAATAAAATCAAGAGAAAATTAATAATGAAGGATTCATATTACATTTGTCTCATTTAAATTTATACAACTTAGCATTCTAGAAGCATAATCATAGTTGAATTGACATTTTTTATCATGATTTTCTAAGTTTAACATGAGATTTTTTATTTTTATTTTTTATTTTTTCATTTTTAGCTTTGGAGACATCATTGGGGGCATGACATGCATTTTTTTTTTTGGGTTAGCCTAATTTAATGATTAGTTTTTTTGTCTAGGTAGGGACAACCTATTCCTTCATGTACTTGGACGAGACCTGAGGTTCGGAGAGAGCCGGCCAGGTCTAGCTCGAGGCGTCGCCGCACTACTTCTGGTGGTCGAGGTGGCCGATCTGTCGCTATATTTTTTTTGTTAATGTTTGGAAAATCATTATCTCATTACATTATACAATTCCTCTAGTTCTTTTCCTTCGATCTACCCCCATTCTATTTTGTAATCACACTATTCTGTATAAAAATTTAACAAGAATGTAGAACTAACAATCTACTAAAAAAATCTACTAAAAAACTGTTTCAAGGGTTGTAGTGGTCTTCAATAGGTTACTTCTATTTTTACATAAGGCCTTTTCATAGATAAGATTCACTCATTCCACAAATACTTGTTTGTCAATTCATGGGAAAACATCAACAGTTGATCGGAAAAAATTATCAATCAAACTTAAAATTAAAAGTTTAAGAGCTTCATTAATGTAAAATTACATCTTAGAATAGAGTTTAGTTCGATGGCATTTTAAAAAAAAGCATACTTGCTTTATTCTTACAAAATAGCTAATACAAAAGAAATTAGATGAATTTTTCTAATTTATTGGACATTCCACCAAATCAAATAAATTCATTAAAGAATATGCTATATTTTAAATCAACTAACTTAAAACGTTTTCCCCATCATTGCTTTTGGAAATAATGGATCCAGCTAAATAACCTATTTTAATACGTTGATAATCAAATAAAACACTAAAATAGCTTATTTGACTTGTCAATACTCAAATGTTGGCCAGTTAGCTAATTTTACTCCAATCTCTACGTTCCAAGCGTAGCATCTTTCTCTACAATTACTAATGATATTTTGTTTCTCAAATTTCAACCTTCCACATTACTCTTAATTTTCCCCATCTCTTTCTACCAATTTTCAATATTCAACATTCGTAAAGTAGTTACTCATTAAGTTTCTTGTGTTTTCTCAATGTATACATTGATCAATGACACCTTTCTTATTTGAAGCACTCAATCAACATTTTAAGTTTTCCCCCATCACTTCAATGTAATAGTTAATTACATCTTTCATTTGATTAAAGGAAACCTGTATATAACAACTAGCATTATACTAAATATCGTTACCCATTGTTGCAAAGGCTCGGCTTCAAAACCATGAGTCAATAGATTAGCAATTAGGCCATAACACGTAGCAAATAAAATCTGTAACCCAATAAGTGCTCTCGAACCAAGATATAGCCCAATTTAAATTTAAATAGTATTTATTATGGAATTAATTTGAGTAACAAAATGACGAAATCTAGTTCTATACATTAACTTTATCCTACTTAATTTTATTTATTTTTATAGAAGATTAGGTATCTTACTTTTTATTATTAAGGGTTTTTCTCATTTGTACCCATGTGGTTTTACATTTTTTCACCTGTACCCAAGTTTTTTGAAATTCTCATTTGTACCCATGAGGTTACAACAATTTATCACACATAACCAATTTCATTAACTAAAATGATATACCTCTATTAAGTGATCAAATAAAAATAAAACAACTTTTTTAAAGGATATAAAAAATAAAACAGAAAAAAAAACCCCACCACCAGCCACCTCCCCCAGAATCCGCACCACCCCAGTCACCTCCCCCCACCCCCCAACCAGCCCCACCATCAAGGTCGTCGGCTTCCGGCGATCTCCCCCCACCCTCCACCCCTTGCCGCAACCTCCCCAACCACCAAAACCCCCTACAAATCTAAACCCTTACCTTAATCACCACACCAACACACCCTATTCGACCTTCCCAAACCAACCCGACCCCTCCCCAAACCTCCTCACCGCCCACCACCCGCCGACCACAAAACCGACAACCCTGGACCCTCCCCGACCCGTTTCCACCCCTCCCCACCCTAAACCCGACCCAAATTAGCCCCCTTCCACCCAAATCTGACAACCCCTGCCCCTTCTCGGCCACTCCCCGTCCCCTGGCGACCAATCCCCAGCCCTCCCCGCCCAACCCGATCCCCACCCCCCTCCAGTTGCAACTTTTTTTTTAATTTTTATTTTGTTTTATTTTTATTAATTTTATTATTTTTTTATTATATTAACCATGGTAATTAACCATAATTAGTTATATTTTATTTTTAATTGATCACTTAATAGAGGATTATCATTTTAGTTAATGAAATTGGTTATGTGCGATAAATTGTTGTAACCTCATGGGTACGAATGATAAATATCAAAAAACTTGGATACAGGTGAGAAAACGTCAAACCACATGGGTACAAATGAGAAAAAAAAAACCCTATTATTAATTATGCTGAGATAAATCATAGATTTGTAAAAGCCTATATTTAAATAATAAAAATTTAAAAAAAACTTCAAAATCAGTTACTCCCTCCATCTTTTGTAAGTTCCCCATTAGGGTGTGTGCAGAGTCTAAGACAAAACTATAAAATACAATAATATATGATGAGTTGGTATGGTTAAGATCGAATAAAATTAAAAAGTAAGAGAGAAAAATATATATGAAGAGGACCACTAAGTATGATGTGAGAGGGAAAAATATTATAAAATGACAGCATAGTCAAAAGAAGAGAAATAAATAATATATAATATAAATGGGGTTTGTAAATTTGGTAATGGGGCACTTAATAAAAAAAAAAAAGGTCATTCTTGGGAAGTGGAGCACTTAAAAAAAAAGGGGGGAGGGGGTATATGCTAATTTGGTACATGATGTGCAAATAGATGGGTAAGAAGTGTAATCACATAACAACAACTCTATAATTACAATTACGTTCGATTTTATTAGTTTAATTTTTTATAGTTTGAAAATCTATGGTTTGAAAATTGAATCACTTGATTGTTTATTGTTTTGATCTTATAGCACATTCAAAATTTAAAAACACTTAATTAAGGAATAAATTTGATTCCAAAAATTATAAAATAAATGTTCGAATTGAAATTATTTTGAAATTGTATTCAAAAATAATAATTATAGTGTTTCACCTTCTATAAATACAATCATGCAAGTAGTAGGATAATATATTAAAATATAGTTCTAGTAGCAACACTTTATTAGTTACATGAATTTTTAAAAACATTTCAAGAAAGCATCGACTAAATAAAGTTTTTTGTGAAAAAACTATTATTTTTATAATGTACCACTCATCAAATTCCAGTATTTGGCTCATTTTTTCTGGCATTCTCCTCTAGTGAGGGAAAAATTTGATTTTTTTACCTTTACTAAGGCAGCTAACGCGTACGATGCGCGCACATAGCTAGTTATATATCAAGAAGTTCTTTCGATTTGACTTTAAATCACAAATTTAATTATTGATATGTAACAATTATGTTTAGAGGTATAAATATTGTCTTTAAAAGAAAAAAAATATTTAGAGGTATAAATGTCCAAGGAAACTAACATTAATAAGAAAAAATGAGTAAATAAACATTTTTGAGGGTATAATTGTCCAATATATATATATATATATATACACAAATCTTTGAAGGGTATAATTGACATCACACTATGCATAAGAGTATTATTGTACTTTTTATAAGGTAGGGATTGGAAAAAAAAATAGCCATGAACATCTTGGGTTGCATGCATAGAATTGTCATAGTTTACATGTTTTAGAATCTGAGACACAAAAATTGCTATAATAAGTTTTAGGGTATATGATTATCTTAAGAAAAAAAATATATGTGGCCGTAATGGGTAACAACTGATCATAGACGCCTCAAATTGCATGCAATAAATTGCTTGTCTTCGGATGAATGATTTGTTTTCTAAGAGAATTGCTCGTTAAGGTTATATGCGTTATTTTGCAACTTAATAAAGAATTTTGAGGTTAAGACCGACAAAAATAAATAGTATACTAAGGAAAAAAATTTAAGTATGTAAAGCATTATTTAAGGTCGAATTTTGATTATAAGGGTATTAAGCATGATTAAAAAATATTAGGAAAGTTGTAAATTACTTTAATATTTTCTCATGAATGAGTGGTGAAGAAAAATATTACATTTCTCAAAATTGAGAGTTGTAGGAAATTTACACTCATGTATAGCATAGTACTAGTGTATCTGTGGAAAATTTGATGAGACATTTTTTTTTTCCTATTGATTGTTCCATGTCTCTTACACTACTATACCTAACAATTTTTCTATGCATATACATATATATATATTTTGAGTGAGAGAACATTTTTTTTATTTTTTTTACACTACAAAGAGGAGAACATTTATATTCATGTAATCATTGTTCCTCTTTATTAAACTATTTGATAGTACAAAATTGTAAATTTTCTTGTAAATTCTATTTTCGCCTTGACTTAGGTGTGTTTCTTTTCTTTACACTTTTCTTTCATTTTTTCATAATCATTATTTAATAGGAAGTGCTATATAACACAACTTTTCTCTTTAACGTCCACACGATCTTTATCATCTAAATTTTGACATGAAAATATAAGTTTTATATGGGGTATCCGACAATCAACTTTTATAAAGTGATTTTAATTATAGAACTGATAATTTATGTAAATTTTTTAACATATAATGTAAAATAAATCATGCGTAAACAGATATTCATAAAACCCTAGCCTCTCTTTCCTCTCTTCTCTATCTAAAACCCTAGCCTCCATTGTTGAATTTTGGAGGGGCTTCCATCGATTTTTATCGGTGGAAAGCCCCAATTGTTTGTTTTTGTGTGCTTTTTCTATTGTTTTAGGTTTATAATAATAATTTTTCCTCTTCTAGGAGGAATATTTCTCCCTCGAAAGACAGGGTTTTTCTTCTTCTTTAGAAAGATTTGGCTCCTTCGAAAGACCGGGTTTTTCTTCTCTCTTTTGAGGGAGGATTTGCTTTTTATTTTATGGATTGCTATAGAGTTGTTTCATGGGTAAAATTTTGTGCGAGATCGAAAAAGAGGTTAATATGTCAATTACAATCTAGCGAATCAGACGGAAATTTTCTGCAGGGCTACAACAGATCGATAGACCCCTCGCCAATGAAAACTGTAAATCACAGCGATATGAAAGAGGGTATGAAGAATGTACGATTTGCAACAACGATCGTAGCTTTGCTTATGGAATGTTTTTATTTGACTCAATTATAATGTATTCATTAGATCTAAATCTCTTTGTAAATGTCGTATGACTTTATTTATGAATCAATTTTATTTCAAAAAAAAAAAAAAAAAAAAAAATCATGCGTAAACATAATAAAAATCAATTACCATGAAGTACTGCCTCTAAGCTTGATAGCAATTTGATCCATGTCTTGAAAATTTATTGGTGCCTGCTCCCTACATGGTATAGAGCAATAATTAAACTTTGTAATTACTTACGCTTAAAGATAATGAATCACTATAGCATAATGTATAAACTATAAGAGATGCCTTTTGCTTCTTTTTATCTAAGTATTAAATTTAGCACATTAAATTTTATCCAAGTACGAAGATAAAATATAAAAATATCACTCTTCGAAAGATAAAAGGAGCATATAATGAATTTATTGAGTATATAAGGCATACAATAGTCTTCCAAGCTCCAATATTGCATTTTGTGTGTCTTCAATAAGTGTTTGAAGTAGATTTGCAAAATAGTAAGGACCATTCACATCCTTTAACCCATAACACATGTTCATCAAATTATCTATCAAACCCTACAAGAAGGAAATTAATAATTTTATTAATTAAATGATGATGAAAGATATAGACTTATAAACCACATAAATAGTAAATACTCTATAGTAAAATATTATGTTAAATGAAACCTTAATTACACCAAATGCGTTTGGAATTTAACAGTTTAATGCAATCATAAGGTTTGCAATTAATAAAATTTAATTCTTAACTAAATTTCATATTAGAAGATAGAATGATGTATGGCAAATTACAAAAACTTGACTGATAGACAAGTGAGCTTTCGTATATCTCATTAATATGTTAAAATAAAAATAGTTCATTATTGATATACTTTCCACTATATTATCATAGGGATTTTCTCGTTGCTAGACATAAACATTTGCGCATTTTCATTGATAGCAAATTTTTTTCAAAAATCTCTTATATAGCATTTAAATTATAAATTTTCTCTAATATGACAATATAATAATAATTTTCACATAATCAACCAAAAATTGATTAATCATGGTTAAATTAATAGACCCTTACCACCTTCACAATCCTTCTCCTAAACCCCTACCACAAAAAATATCCTGTCACCAACTTAAAACCCTTCCCCACCCCTTAAGCACCTAACCGCCCCTAGCCTTCCCCGTATTAACCCTTCCTTTCCCCTTGAACCACCCAACTACACTTACTCGAGGCTGGAGTACATCCTTAGTAATGCCCCCAACGACACCCTTGATACCCTTATTATTCAAGGAAAAAAATACCTTAACCGATCCCCCTACACTTGAAACCCTAAGCGAGCCTAACCGAGAAATCCCTAACACTTGTTTCCTTTCCCTTTCTCCTTCTTGCACCTCTTTAGATAGCAGATAAAAAAGCCAAAAGAGGTGTTGAGCATTTTGCACGAAGGGGGTATCACGAGTGGAATGGAGAAGATGTAATTGGATTGTACGAAGGGAAGGGGAGAGAAAACATGGTGCTTCATGCATAAAGTGTGGCTCGATGAATCGAGGGGAAGGGGAAGGACATTAGGGGATTTTAGGAGTGGAAGAAAGCAGTCTTGGGAGGGAGAAAGACATTTAGGTGTTTAGAGGGAGGGGGTGGTAAGGTGTTTACAACTATAGGGGTTGTGGCGAAGGTGGTGGTGGTATTGTGGTATGGTAGTGAGGGGGTTAATTATTTAATCATGATAAATGATTAAAGGTTACTTATATAAAAAATTATTAAAATAAGTCCGGATTAAAGAATAATCATAACTTTAATGCTATTTGATTCTGATAAAGTTTGCTACTAATGAGAATGCGCAATAGTTTATGGCTACCAGAAATGAGAAAAACCCTTTATTATGTTACTCATTTATTATATAGCATTGATTGTATGAAATAGGAAACTGTAATATATTATTATCTCTATTTGTTTTTTATTTAAATACTTACATTTTAAATACAATTTAAGAATATAAGAGAGAAAGTGTTGATACTGTGTGTAATGTAAGAAAAAAGGCAAAAAGAATAGAACTAAGCTTGCTCATAAAAATTAAAGTAAAAGTAAGTTTATGTAAGAATAAACTGAATAAAGTAAGAGAAATAATGAAATGGTGTACTTAATGACGAATAAGAAATACAAGTAGATAAATCAGCCTTGTAAAAGAGAGAGCAATCATGAAATTTTAAGAACATGGTCAAAACAAAAGGTATTAAGATCATTTAAGAACTATATATTAGGAAAATTGAAACACCTTATCAATGAAATTCCTTTGATTATTTTATTTTATTTATATATATAATATCCAATAAAGGGAGTATCATAATTACTAAATTGTAGATGTTTGATAAGCATATCTTAATGACTGTCTACATAATTCAGAAAAAAAATAAGAAAAAGAAAATCTATTTTTGCACAATATCAAAATAAACCAACCTTTTGATTAACTAAGACTAAGTTACCTTTTTTTTTTGGGAATTTCTTTAACTAGGAAAAATAGCCTAGAACCTACCTAATAAGTTACTATTTTTTTCACTTATAAAAGTCCACCAAACTTTTTCGACTAGTTATCAACAAACAACCTGACCGCCCTCAAGCCCAACAACTACTTTCAACCACGATTGCCCAATAGTTATCCTCAATTCCCTCACAACATTCGTTCTCCATGACCATCCATCGTCCCTCCTTAAATCCATTCAACCACCCCTCCCCAAAACTACCATACATATCAATCAACACCTAAACACTCATATCACATGTCATTCTCTCTTTCCTCATTTATCCTAGTATCCAAATCTCCACTAATTCATGTAACGTGCTACAAGTTGAAAAATCATCACAAATACTCAATTCAAAATCAAAATATTTTAACCAAATGTATAAACTAAATAGATTTTCCGAAAATTACAAGAAGTATAGATTGTCGATATGAAGGAATTCAACAAATATAATCTTCCAATTAAGAAGCTAATTAAATGGACTACTAATATTGCACCCAACAAATGTGCTAGCCCACCCACCCACCTACCCGTCACCAAGCTGCGCACTAATTGATTTCTCACAGTTGTTGGGCAGTATTTGAAGGTCGATGGGAAGCTACTAAGACTAACATTGAAGGAGAGGAAGGTAGATTTATAATAAGATTGTTGGGTAGTTTTTGATGTTGAGGTGACTATGTAGATTTAAGGGCATCAAGAATTCATGGTAGTAGATGCGAGCTTTATGTAGGCATAATGAAGATTTGGGTTTGTTGAAGGTGGAAGAGAAGGCAGGATTGAAGTGTAATAGATGGTGGCTTAAGGAGAGAGAGAGAAATTAATGGTGAAGGGGGAGGAGAAAGAAGAGGTCACAATTGAAGGTGGCGTGAGAAGGGGATAAAATGGTTCAATAATAATTAAAAGTTACAGAAATTTATTTTAGTTAATATTTTTAAAGCTAGACCAATAGAATTGAAACACGTGTCCTTCTTAACTTGTTTAATGTTTCAACCACTTAAAATCAATAAAAGAAAAAACCCCATAAAGGTTAAGTTACTCTAAGTTAATTAAATGGTTGACTTACCTATAACCTAATCACACAAATTTGGCTTATTTTTAACAATTTTCCAATTACTTAGCTTTAAGATAAATTTTATTATGTCATGGTAATTACATTTTGCAAATGTTGTGTTTACAATTCTGTACATTGAAGGTAAGTTCCCAAATTATTTTAATATAAAACTAAAGTTACCTACATTTTACAAGAAATTCACTTCGTAAAAATCACTCATAATAAGGACTGTCAATTAGGTCGTTCAAGTAACTTTGGGTCACGAGTTGAGAAATACTTAGCCCTAACAAGTGTTATTGGTGGTTTATTATTAGAAATATCTTACTTTTTAAGCTTTCTTTACTATTTTTTTTTTCACGTCAATCAAATATTCACGCCGATATTATTTATAGCCATTACATTTACAATACATTAATATCATCAAACCACGTCTATTTCCTAACTAATCAAAATGATAATAATAAAATTAAAAACAAAACTAGTAAAAATTAAAAAAAAATTAAAGGAAAAAGTCAACATTAAACATGTAATGAATAATAACTCATTATATAATTTCTTGATATATATCGTTTAATTTAATTATCTTTTTAAATAATATATTTGACACTATTAATATCTATGTGTATGTAATCCCTTTAATTAATTAAATAATTTCTTACAGGGTAGTTGGTTATTATTCTCTTATCTAACTTAATCTTTTACGTAATATTCACCGACTATCTTTGTAATATATGTTATGTAAAGTTCATCAATGCACTACAATTAAACCTTAACATACAAATTATGGTATTTGGTAAAAGACCTTAGTTATGCAACATTCAAACTAAACACCATCACACAATGGTTGGTGGCAGTTGGTGTGGGTTATTTGGTCAATGACATGATGTAGGTTATGCAAATGTAATTCGTGTGAATTGTTATTTTAGTGTGGGTGGCGATTAGTGTGCGTCTAGGAGAGACAGATGAAAGAGAAATGAATGTAGATTGATGGATGGATGATCAAAGTCAATTAAGAACTATGTTTTTATTTTCTAATATAATTGTTTTAAAAAAAACCCACAAAATTGGGTTAGCGACCTGGTTTAGTTTTGTTCACGTCGGGTTTGACTCACAATTTTTATTGGTGAAATAGATTCAAATTAAATTCGGTTTCAAGTCAAAATGTTTTTGTTCAAAATCCATAAAAAGATTGGTCGGGTTGGGCTTGGTTTTCTGGTCAGGTAAAATATTATCAGATCTACTATGATGCTTAAAAGTAATTATATTATCTAGGCAAAATTGGGCGCAACACCCCGAGGTATGGCTTAGCTGCAACACATGCCATAAATAAAAATTCCCGGCAACATATTTCACCAGAAGGAAGTGAATCTTCAATTTCTAGAATAGTTACGTAGTCTTCCATCCACTTAGCACGCATGGATTCAACTCCTCCGATAAAATAAGTGGCCAAAAATTTTCTTTTATGGCACGCATTTCACCTATCATCATAATTGGTGGTATTTTAGCTACCATGCAAAGTTTAGAGCTCTCAGTGCACCTAAGCCATACTTCAGGGTGTTGATGTGTCCAATTTATATAATGTTTTACCCCCGTCCCTTGGTCATAATTAGTAGTTTTTTAAGCTCTTTAGAACCACTTTTATTACTAATTGGTGTTTTCTAGTGTTTTTGTAGTTTTGCTTGAGTTTTGTAGGAAATTTCACATTTGGAGCGTTTTCCGGGTTTTTCATGGTGCAACTACAAGCATTATGAGGACACGACCATCTTTGAAGCCCAGGACCGGTTAGAGCCGGTGATTAAGGGCTCGGTATGTGATATCGGGGAATTTGGATCGAGTATTCAAGACCCGAAGAGGAAATCCGGATTGGGCCGAAGAATCAAGCCCAATCGAAGTCCAAGCCTCGAGGAAGAGACCGGGCCCGATCGGGCAAGCTTGCACCCGATCGGGAGGGCGCGCAAAAGAGAGCACCAGCAAGAAGGCGCGTCGATCGGGTGAGCATAAGCTCGATCGGGCGCGGCTGCCCAGGAAGACTCTGAAGAAAAAGGCGGGGCCGATCGGGTTGCCTTTCGTCCGATCGGGCGCGTGTTTTTTGAGCCGAGTTTTTAGTTTTCAATTAGGATTTGTTTTAGGGATGTTTAAGTACAATTTTTGTACGTAATTTTGATTACCTTCTCTTTTAGACTTTCTGTCTCTACTTAGAATATTTTCTCTCTCTTAAATTCTCTTAACTTTGTTCTTAATTCCATTCCTTAATCAAGATTTCTTTTGGTAACAATTTCTTCTCTTTTAATTTCAGTTATTTTCTTTAATTCTTTCATCATATCTTATTTTATTGTTTTGATTAGTTTAGATTTAATTATGCTTAAGTAGTTTTATTTCTAGGGTTTATGGGGATCTAATAAATAATGTGAAGGGGTAATTTGTGATTGTTGATTATCAATGCTTGATTAATTTCCTATTGATTAATTTAATGTTATGCAATTAGGTTTGGCCAGATTTAATTGTACGAGTTTAGCAATATTAATTCGAGATTCGAGAGATGAGAATTGATGTTTAGGCTTAGTTTCAATAGGCGGACTAATTTATAAATGGTTAAGTCGAGATTCGAGAGATGAGATTTAATACCGGTAAATTAACTATGTGGTTGTAATACGTAGCGAAAACCCTTTATAATCTGATTAATTGATGCATTGATGATTGCTTATCATGATTTACCCTTGAATATTGTTTATTAGTGAAACTATGCCCTAGGTTTTTCCTTCACTGATTTACATCCTATTTTACTCCCTTCCTACTCTTACCTTTAGTAGTTTAATTACCCCTTTACAACAAATTTGTTACTTGATAATTTAGATTGCTTCTAGTTAATTAGGAATAAATTGACCTGTTTCCCTGTGTTTCGACCCTTCTTCCCTATCTACATAATTAGTGGATTTAGGTTTTTATTTTTGATTAGGTGAATACGACTTGAGCCTGTCTGGTGTTGCAGCCAATTTGCCTATTATCTAATTTAAGATTTGTCCCTAAAAATATTTGTTTACCTTTAAATTTATAATAATAAAAATTTATGCAAAAGTATGGTTAGTCTAAACTAGATTATAATTCACCCTAAATTGATTAAAGGTTACCTTACATGTGTAAGGAGAACTACTAAACATTGGGTGTTACCAAAAGGTTTTGTATAGTGAATCCCCAATGCAATTTTCTATAATCTATATATTAAGTCACTATAGTAAATTTTATCTTTTTCATTATCTTATGAAATTTACTTTTTAAAATACTGGAGAGCAATTGCAAAGAAAGTAAATAAATACCTTGATTAATTAGTAGTGAGAAAGTTTTAACATAATGTCATAAATTTGGTTGATATTAAGCAAAACTATGACACATAAGCACATTAAAAGCTAATAACTCTTTTATTGTGATATGCAATATTTTATTACCAAAAATGAAAAAGATTTTCATAATCTTTTTGATTTTTTGTTAGTCCTAACAAAGGAAATACAAGATTTATAAAATGTATTGATATTTACCATTTTTGAAAATAATAGAGAGAAACATGTATGTAATATTTTATTTATGCTAAGGAAATTAAATCCCAGGCCTTTTTAATAATTTTCATACAACCAAAACTTTCAGGAACTGTAATATTTGTTTGACTCTAATGTGAGCAAATTTCTTCATGTATATAGATACATAGAATTCAAATATGAAAAAAATACTAAGACAACATATAATTTCAATTCCTTTAACATATCTACCTTTTTGTTTAAATGAAACTATAATAATTCACGCAAGATGGACAAAAATAAATGTGCTAGTCATGTCAAAATAAACAGTAATTGATATCTAAAAAATGAAGGTAGTAAAAAATAGATCTTTCACATACAATTTTGCGGATATGAATTAAATAGCAAAAAATCACAATAAACATTAAAATAAATAAATTAAAAGAGTAAGGTTTATACTTCTTGTTCAAGCTCGGTGATGATAGTGTTCATACTCCGAGTAAGCGCTTCTTTTAAGACAGACATAGTTTGGCTCCAACACTAAGAGCATCGGGATAAAAAATATTAGGAAATCGGCACATATATAACTCTAATAAATTGAAAGACACATGAAAATCATAACAATAAACTAATTGCATCATTAATTAGCAAGCTTAATTCATGGAGGTTGTTACAACAACCCATATCATTACGTTTTTCACAACATGAAATGTGTGAACAAATTTGAAATGAAGTACAATAAAGAAAAATAAATTAAAAAAACATACAAATATTGAATAATATAAATGATAAAATCACCTGATATTGAATATAACAAACACACCACAACCTTACTTCCATGCCACCTGTAAAAGTTTTTTCAATAGAAAATTTAGTTAAGAAAAAAATAGAGTGAACTTAAATACCAATCTTCTAGTGTCTATGACTTTCTATGAAATTTTTTGATAAATTTTCAATTGAGAATAAATATGTTGAGAGTGAGAAGCATATAACATGCTATGGCTATGACTCATCCTATATGTCCCCTACAAATTATTGATATGATAGTTTCATTTATGACCCAAAACAATAATTACTTACGTTTCTCATTTCATTTTATTGCTCACTCAAATTCATAAATTATTAGAGAGCATTTAATATGTTCATATTTATAAATGGCCGGTCAAGACCTTTCTCTATACAATCCTCCTGCTTCTAAAAGATTGTCCTATTGTATGTTTTCGGTCAACTTTACAAACTTTGACTATAATAATCTTCCATAATATTAATTTCCATTCCATGATATAACTTTACAAAATTTTACCAATTATCAGTTTTTTTAAAATTTTTTTGTTAATACGTACTTAGTAACATTGTTGGTCGGTAAATATTGAGAGCTATGTAAAATAGATTTCACTGCATAATTTTAAGGAAAAATTGTCAAAAATGATACAAACTTTAAGTAGTTCGCCAAAAACAAGTCAATCTTTTAATTATTTTTGAATAATAAAAACTTTGAGGGATGTTTGATTTAAACAAGTTATGACTTCTTGGTGACTTATTTAACCGGTTATATGGGACACATGTAATCATTTTATTGGTTTGTAAATTAAAATTATTTTTTAACAATTTTTTAATTTATTTTATGATTTTAATTGTTGAAAGATTAAAATAATAATAATTGTTATTATAAAAAAAACACCTTTTATTATTATTAAAACTCCTATTTATTTTAATAAAAAAATTTCCTAATTTTTTTTAAAACCACCCACCACCGATCCGCCACAGCCAGCCAAGCCAAAACCCCCTCACGCCGATCAGTCGCCCGACCGACCAGCCCAAACCACCCCTTCCTTTGGCCTGATTCGACCCCCTCCCCTTCCCTTTAACTAAAACTTCAAACCCCTTGCTCTTCCTCCATCGTAAACTGGCTCGACCCAAACCCGAAAGCCCCAACCCAAAACCTGAAACACCATCGCTCAAACAACCCCAGTTTTGTTAGGGTTTGGGTTAGGGGTTTTGGGTTTCAGTGAGGGCGAAGGGGTTGTGTGGGGAACCGAGGAAGGGTAGGGCTGGGTTGATGAGTCGGCCAACGCGAGGGGGAGAAAGGTGGTTTAGCAGGACAACTAGGGTGGGGAGTGTAGGCGTCGCTCGAAGTTCGCCTACGTTAAAAGCATGTGTGAATATGCTTGGAACTCTTAGGAATTGGGAATTGACATATACAATTAGGGAAAAGGAAAGTAGGGAGCCGCCAATAAATCTTTAAGGAACTTGTAAACCGTTCACAGATCATAAAAAGGCAACCACGATAAGGGACAGCGATAGGCAACAACGATTGACCCGTGAAGGTTACACCCCATTCATAATCCATGAGATTACTAACTCCATATGGTTCGGAACCACGAAAGGAGGATCGGGAACTATTGGACCCATATCATGAACCAACCAAACTGGATTGGCTGTTTTCTTAAAATAAGTTTTCAAAAACAGAGAAAAGAGAAAAGAAATTAAAACTATCCGCAACACTAGACTTTCCACACTTTTACTTCATTCGATTATGATTTGACACGAAAGGACTCATCACTGGGTTCGGGTTTGGGAGACACAAATGGGTGTCTACAGAAGCCCCCACTTTGACTGAGTTTGGAGAAACGCAAGTTTCGAAAACAAAAGTCAAAGTAGCGATAGGGACGGAGAATGATTCAGAACATTCTGTGATCCTAAATCATTCTTGTAACGCCGATACCTGCAAACTAGCGTTAGTTAAACAGATAAAAGAGTTAAGAAACACGTATCTTGCACCGTCGGGAACACGCCTATGAAAGTAACCGATTTGCTGCTGCTTCCTTATTGTTTTGATGACCTCCTGCCAAGAGAATGTCATCCCGCTTGAAAACTGCTACGCTTGTAACTGCTTCCAATATTGAAGATTGCTTCGCTTGAAACGATTCTCTTCCGCTTTGATAACATTCCACATCTAAGGGAATACTATCGAAGATTGCTTCACTTGAAACAATCCTCTTCCGCTTTATGACCATCCTCCACGTCTAAGGGAACATGATCGAAGATAACTTCGCTTGAAATTACCTTCAGTTGTTTATGACAACTCTCCACAATCTAGGGAACGCCATCTTGCTGTTTCGATGTTCACTCGTCTCTGAACAAAGAGCTTCTTTTTTTTGGATATGTTCACGCGCCTCTGAACAAAGAGCTTCTCTTTTAATATGTCCACGCGTCTCTGAACAAAGAGCTTTGAATGATTTGTCCACGCGTCTCTAAACAAAAGAGCTTGATGATATGCCCACGCGTCTTTGGAGCAAAAAAGCTTCATGGAAATGTTCACGCGTCTCTGAACAAAGGAGCTTGAAAGGATTGTCCACGCGTCTTTGAACAAAAGATCTTCGAAAGAAATGTCCACGCGTCTCTAAACAAAAGAGCTTGAATGAAATGTCCACGCGTCTCTGAACAAAAGAGCTTGAAAGAAATGTTTGTTGCGATGATATTTCGAAGAAATTTCCGAAGACCAACGCCTGTCGATCTCTAAAGCTCGCTTGAACATTGCTTCCGCTAAAACCATTATGTCGGTGTCTCCGTGATGAGCCAATTCTTAGGCGCTTTAAGCTAAGTGAGACAATCTTTCATCAGGTCGATCACTTATTGTGATTGTAATCAAACTAACTACTTAATCATGTCAAATTGCTTGTAGGGGCTAACTGGCGTACCAAGGAACCCGAAATTGCAGTATGAGGTCGAAATCACCTTTCTGAGAAGCTCCGAACTCTATCGCTGCTGAAATATCTCTGGCGCCAAGAATTGGCTTTGTCTCCAGACGATGTGATCTAGCGTCAGGCGCTAAAACCTGCTGCCAGACGCTAGATGTTTTCGTGTGGCGCTGGAGTAGGGTCTTCCCTATTCTGCTACACCTGTATTTATTTTTGACTATAGAACTTTTCCATTATCCTTAATTATCTTAGGGTTGACCTAATATTTAACGTCGCTTGACTCATCGACTTGACACGACTCAAGGTATAAACTTGACTTGCTGTGATTGACTCGAGGTTGACTCGACTCGAAGTGAAATGACACGTGTGACTCATGACCCGTGTGTGCATTGTATTATGATTGTGCGACTCAAAAATGCAAAAAAAAAAAACAAAAATTTCCTCCATTTTTGTGGAGGGTACCGACTTTCTCCCGAAAAAGAAAGACGCGAAAAAAGAATCGAAGTTTTTGAAGGTGCATGTTGAATGAGCTTAGTCAAACGTTGTTTGATAATATCTCTCAAGGTGCAAGGATTGATCCATCCTAGGCTATCTCAATGGTTGACTCAATGATGAAATTATTTGGGTAACTTAGGCACGGAGGCTAAGCACTTCATACTTCGTGATGCAATGACAATTATGATTGATGAGTGATGTTGATATGACAAGGCGTGCTTCAGCATTGTGTTAAGATTACATGACAAAGGGTTTCTAAGGGAAGTATATTTGGTCATGTATGTGTGATGTGTGTGAAAGTGACACTAAAGTTAGGCCGCAAGAGCTAAGTGTGTGGAAAAATATTATTTTTGGAAGAGTCAAATGATGGTGACTCTTTAGGCTAGGTAAGGTAATGATGTAGGGATCAAGCCCCCAAGTCTAGCTCTACATGGATAGGGATGAGAATAGGAGATCCCTTGATATGATCATGGTGTGAGTGTGTGAATGTGAATATGAATGAATTTTTGTTACGGCCGCACCTCGATGTGAGGTTGCCTACGTATCCGTTAGGAATCAGGCCGAACGTAGCTCTAGCAGAACCTCGCACAAGTGTGTGTATACCCCAAAAAGGTCTTTTTAAGGTTTTTAAAGTGGTTAGGATAAAGGTTAGAGAAGAAAGGGATAAATGCTCAAGACCCTAGATAAGCCCCCAAGGTGTACAACCTCGCTTTTGAATCTTTATATTTTTATGCTTGAGGCTTTTGACTCTTTTTTAGCTCTCTTTTTTTTTGTTTTGCTTTAGCATCTATTTTATTTTTATAAGTGTGGGAAATCCCGATCATGCGGTCTATCACTCACTTGGCATTCATGTTTCTCAGGCAGGGTACCGAGCACTCGATAAGAGACGCAATCTGAGACATGTTCATATCAAAGACATTGGAACACTTGCCCTTTTTGTACACTTTTATTATATTTTTTTTGCTTATTTTTTTTTTCTATTTTAATATTTTGAAGTCACTCAAGCTTTTCATAAGTTGCACACCATCCCATCCCAAGGTTAGGTAGATATAGGTTGAAGAAGAAAGGTTTGTCGTTAGACGAGGCTCAAAGTGGTTTATCAAAAAAAGATTGCATATTTGAAGGGTGAAAGGTAATATGATGTTGCTACAAGAGGTGCCTCAAATCATTGGTATACCTTGTGCTTAATTCGACATGGATTTTTTTTTTAATGCAATGTAATGAAATGATCATATGTAAGAGAATAAATGCTCATTTTATTAAAAAGGGGAAACGAAAGAATCTACAAAATTAATCTAAGGGAAAATAAAAGGTGCCTATGCTAGACTTATTGGGGAAAGGGTAAATAAAGAAAAAGAAAAAAGATGTCATGAAATCTCGTCATTGAAGCTCACCTCTTGCCTCATGTTGTTTGCTTTATCATCACTCGCTCTTCTTGTTAACTGAAGGTATGGGAAGCTTGTTATTATCAATCAAATGTTGGATAGCCTCCTTTAGCTTCCAACAGCTCTCGGTAGCATGACCCCTACCTTGATGGTACTTACAGCGCACATTTGGATTCCAACTAGGCACCCTCTTCTCAAGCGGGGGATCTTGAAGAGGTCCAATAGGAGTAATGAGTCCCTTGGCATGGAGTCGATCGAAAGCATCATCGTAGCTAATTTCAATAGGGGTAAAATCCCTTTTTTGTTGCTTTCAAAATCCTCGACTATCCATGGCTAGGATCTCACTAAGGTCGAAAGTACCAACACTGTTGCTAGAGTAGGTGTTTTCGGAAGGAGAAGGATAGTCGTTCTTCTTCCCTTTACAGCCACTGTTACTAT